TCGATCCTCCCTCCTCAAGCCTCTCCAGATACTACGATGACAGTTTTCCTATATATTTTTAGTCGGCCAATTAATTTCTTTCTATTTTTAGCAGAGACAAGAGGGTCTTGCTCTTGTGCTCAGGCCGGCCTCCAACTCCCGGCCTCCTCGACCGCGATCCTCCCTCCTCGGCCTCCTCCCAGAGTGCGGGGACGACAGGCGTTGAGCCGGCCGGATGAGAGGCTTACGGAGGCCGGGGTCCTTAGGGGGAGTCCTCCACCCCGTGAGTCCCTCCCTCCGTCCTCCCGGGAGGCCGGCGGGGGGAAGAGGTCGAGGCCGGCGGACTCACAGCTGATGGTGATGCCCAGCTCCACCCCGGGCCGCTTGGGCAGCTTCACGTGGAAGGTCCCGCTGCTCGGGGTCACGGAGTCTGCGCACAAACACGCGGGGACGGGCGTGAGCCTCCAGAGAGAGGCCGCGGGGCGAGGCCCTCGGCCTCCGTCTCCTGAGAGCAACCCCTTCCCCCCCGCCCCAAAAAAAAAAGTCACCCCCATCCCCCAACCCCACGTCCCGCTTCTGTTTTAGTTTTTTCAGACGGGAGTCTCGCCCTGTCGCCCGGGATACAGCCTCCAACTCCTGGGATCGAGCGAGCCTCCCGCCTCGGCCTCCCTCCCGAGTAGCTGGGACTACAGGCATGCGCCACCACGCCCGGCTCGTTTTTTTTCTATATATTTTTAGTTGGCCGATTAATTTCTTTCTATTTTTTAGTAGAGACGGGGTCTCGCTCTGGCTCAGGCTGGCCTCCAACTCCTGACCTCGAGCGAGCCTCCCGCCTCGGCCTCCCTCCTGAGTAGCTGGGACGACAGGCGTGCGCCACCACGCCCGGCTCGTTTTTTCTATATATTTTTAGTTTTCCAGCTCATTTCTTTCTATTTTTTTAGTAGAGACGGGGTCTCGCTCTTGCTCAGGCCGGCCTCGACCTCCTGACCTCGAGCGAGCCTCCCGCCTCGGCCTCCCAGAGTGCCAGGATGACAGGCGTGAGCCTCCGCACCCGGCTCATTTTTTCTATATATTTTTTTAGTTGTCCAGCTCATTTCTTTCCATTTTTTTTCCTATATATTTTTACTTGGCCAATTAATTTATTTCTATTTTTAGTAGAGACGGGGTCTCGCTCTTGCTCAGGCTGGCCTCCAACTCCTGACCTTGAGCGATCCTCCCGCCTCGGCCTCCCATGAGTGCTGGGACGACAGGCGTGAGCTGCCGCGCTCACCCGGCCGGCCCCCGTTCTGTTTCTTCCTCCTTACCGATGGGGAAACTGAGGCACGGCGAGCAGATAGAGACGCTTGAAACAACAGACCCGGGTGAACCAACCTGAGCCCCATTGGGGGAATTCAACAAACGTTTATTGAGGCCGGGCGCGGAGGCTCACGCCTGTCGTCCCAGCACTCTGGGAGGCTGAGGAGGGAGGATCGCTCGAGGCCGGGAGTTGGAGGCCAGCCTGAGCAAGAGCGAGACCCCGTCTCTACTAAAAAAAAAAAAAATAGAAAGAAATTAATTGGCCAACTAAAAATATATAGAGAAACTGTCGTCCCAGCACTCATGGGAGGCCGAGGCGGGAGGATCGCTCGAGGCCGGGAGTTGGAGGCCAGCCTGAGCCCAAAAGTGAGACCCCGTCTCTACTAAAAAAAAATAGAAAGAAATTAGCTGGAAAACTAAAAATATATAGAAAAAAACGAGCCGGGCGTGGAGGCTCATGCCTGTAGTCCCAGCTACTCGGGAGGGAGGCCGAGGCGGGAGGCTCGCTCGAGGCCAGGAGTTCAAAACCAGCCTGAGCAAGAGCGAGACCCCGTCTCTAATTTTAATAGAAAGAAATTAATTGGCCAACTAATATAAATATAGAAAAGCTGTAAATCCTAGCTACTTAGGAGGCCGAGGAGGGAGGCTCGCTCGAGGCCGGGAGTTGGAGGCCAGCCTGAGCAAGAGCGAGACCCCGTCTCTACTTAAAAAAATATATATATAGAAAAAAATTAGCCAAACAACTGAAAATATAGAGAAAAAAAAAAAAACGAGCCGGGCGTGGAGGCACATGCCCGTCGTCCCAGCCTCTACTCGGGAGGGAGGCCGAGGCGGGAGGCTCGCGCTCGAGGAGGAGGCCGGCGGGGCAGGCGTGGGCCGACAGGGCCGGGTCCCGGCCCCCGGCGGGAAGCGAGGTCACCCTGGCCGGGTGGCCGTTGAGGTGAGGCTGGGAGGCTGGAAGACAGATGGAGGCTGGAGGAGGAGGCCGGGAGGGGGCGAGGTCGCTCACCGGCCACGTCGAACCCGATTTCCAGCGCGACCTTCCCGGCCAGGGCGGCCTCACGCAGGAGCTGCCTGGCCTCCTCCAGGGTCCCGGCCTCTGTGGGGAGGCCGTTGATTGACAGGACGCGGTCGCCCGGCTGGATCAAGCCGCACCTGAACCCCGCATTTCCCGGCGGCGGGGAGAGAAGTCGGATTTGTGACAAGCCTGTCATGATGGGGGGACCCCACTCTTTTGTGGGACTCCCAGCCTTGTCCCCAGACCCAGCCTCCACTTTTCCCACGGGGCCTCTTCCACCCACCCGTTGGCTAACGGATTTGGCCTCCGCCTGGGCCTCAATTTGTCTGTCTTTACAATTGACCTCCCTGTGGGCCTCCTCGGAGGGTGGATATCGGGGGGAGGTCGGAGGTCAGAGGGACAGGGGTTCGGATCCCCGGGGTCTGGGGGGGGGGTGCCAGGCCGGGCATCGTTCTTGCTCAGGCTGGCCTCCAACTCCTGGCCTCGAGCGAGCCTCCCGCCTCGGCCTCCCTCCCGAGTAGCTGGGACTACAGGCATGCGCCTCCACGCCCGGCTCAGTTTTTCTATCTATATTAGTTGGCCAATTAATTTCTTTCAATTTTTAGTGTAGACGGGGTCTGGCTCTTGCTCAGGCTGGCCTCGAACTCCTGGCCTCGAGCGATCCTCCCGCCTCGGCCTCCCGGAGTGCTGGGACGACAGTTTTTCTACATATTTTTAGTTGTCCAATTAATTGGAGAGGCTCACGCCCATCGTCCCAGCACTCTGGGAGGCCGAGGCAGGAGGATCGCTGGAGGCCAGGAGTCGGAGGCTGCTGTGAGGGAGGCTGACGCCACGGCACTGACTCTAGCCAGGGCGACAGAAGTGAGAGACTCTTGTCTCCAAAAATAAAATATAAAATAAAATAAAATAAAATAAAATAAAATAAAATAAAATAAAATAAAATAAAATAAA